GCAAGACAAATGTGCATTATTTGTTAGATACATGCTTGTGTGTCAGGTATTACATGCCCAATTACACAGTCACATGTAAAGTATACATATAACATTGAAGTTCTTAAATGGTTTTTGTTTTTGTCATTGTTTTTAATGTGAGCAGTCCCTGGTTCAAAAAGAGCCTGCTTATGCAGTTCAAATCAATTGTATGTCAGTGTGTGTAAATTAGGAATGGGGCACATTTGGTTACATTTTAATTTGGAGGTTCACTAGAATAGACAGCTGGATTAGACATTCTTAATCTTTTTGGTAAGTGATAAGACGGTGAAACAATGTGTGACAAGAAGTGTGTGTGGCTAATAAGTCTGCATGTTTTGTGTGTCTCTGTGTGAATGAATGGCATGGTTTTGTCTGATACTCAAACTCAAACACACGTGACGCCTATGGTGTTTTCAGCATCTGCGTCTCACTATGTGAGGACACAAACACTTCATCTCCAGAGCTGCTCTGAGAGTCACTTCACAAGCTTTTCACTGTGTTATTTGAGAAAAATACTGTCAAATACACACTGAAAATCAAAGATCTTTATGACAACCCATCAAAATGATGGTTTGGTTTAACTTGAAGAAATTATGACACAGATATAGGTATTGCTTTTGTATACTAAAATGAACTTCCTAGAGTAATAATAATAATAATATTAGTATTTTTAAGGAATATCATAAAACCAAGACATTTTGGTAACACTTTACACTAAGGTTCCATTAGTTAATGTTAGTAAATGTATTAACTAACATGAACAAACAATGAACAATACATTTATTACAGTATTTATTAATCTGTGTTAATGTTAGTTAATGAAAATACATTCATTGTTCATTGTCGTTCATTGTTAGTTCACAGTGCATTAACTTATGTTAACAAGCACAACTTTTGATTTTAATGTTTTCGTTTGACATATTTGTTGTTTGGCATGTTTACATTTCCAAGACATTACCATCTGTGCCAATACTCGCCAAGACAAGTATTTTGACCAAATTTCGATCATTCAGATGTGTATCCATATTACTGCAAACGCTCTTCACAAAACACATGTGCACAGAGCTAATTGCTTTATGCGTAAATGGATCACTGAATGTGCAGCACGTTTGTCTCTCATGGTACTCTCTGCGCTTTATTAGTTGGGAAAAGAGGTTGCTCATTTCCATCTTCAGCATTAAAAACAGTACACAGATTGTAGTTTTGTGCTTAGTGTCGGATTGTTAAACCTTGTCCACATGACAAAAGTCTGACCACTTTTAATATAAGAAGTAAGTGATTGTTTAAAGTCAATCAACAAACCACTCTAATATAAATAACTTAAAGCAGTCGTTCCAACTAATAGCCGCACAGATCAATGCAGAGTACAGTGTAAGTGGTTCAGCAGATTTTACCACAGCATATAATGTACTGCCATGCAACACAATGTAATTTAGAAAAAATGCAACATCTATTATCACGTACAAACTAATAATAACCTGTTTTATTGTGTTTCAGGAATACAGTGGAGGATGCAGCCGTGGTCTCTAAGGGCACAGAGCTTGTGGTCGGCTGTGAACGGAGAGTCACAACGAGGCGTACCTGACTCAGAATAAACCAGACTGGGAATCCAATTTCAGTCAGTCCACATACAATCATAGTCATTCTGCTGGATGCTTCCTCTAACATTAATGATGAGAGTAATCCTGTATGTTAGAACTTAAGATGTTTACCGAGAGATTGAAATCATCTCTGGAGCCTGTGCGGCTGTTATTTTATTCCAAGGCAGAAGGTTGCGCTCAACCCTTCTGAATATTTTAGTGAATGAGGAACCTATTGAACCGAGCTCTTCTGGCAGCACTGGAGAATTTCAGTGTTCATGGCTAGAACAGAAACATTTATGTTGGTCACTTGAGTTCCCCAAAAACTCCTTATTCACACAGATGCAATACTTTGGTGGGGAGGTGTAACAAAAGGGGCAAGGGCAACTGAAAAGCGAGAGCTTCCCACAACTTCAAATCATGCAATCAGACGATCTTTTCATCCGCAAGTTCCGCAGGCAGAGCCCACGCCCGACCCTAGCGAGAGTGAACTTTGACCCCAAGCAGGATGGTGGTAGCATGCGGACACGAGTTGTGGCAGAATGGCCTCCTAGGAGAGAGGGAACAAACAGCGAGACTGTCACACCCAGCGCAGCTGCACTGAACCTGAGGACAGTAGGTCGTGGACACATAATGCAGCGCAGCAACAGTGATGTCACCCTTGGAGATTTGGATTCAGTGGGGCAAGTCGGGAGGAAGTTGCTCCGAGTAGGCGTGGACAAATCTGGGACTGTTGGGCCGGGCGATTCCCTCCACCGAGAGTACGGAAGCCTGTCCTCGCTAGAAAGACAAACCCAGATTGTAGATCCCGGTTCGGAAGATCAAGGTGTTCTCAGTCCCAGTGCCTTGCGCTTCAGAGATCCGTTTGTTCTTCTGGGTCTGCAAGAGGCACCTCCTGAAGTGGACGGAGAGTATCAAGGAAACTGTGCTCCAGCAGCAGACACGTCAAAACCGGTCAAGCCCCCCAAACCAGAGGGGCTCGGTAAGAAGGCCAAATCGTCCCCTCTGCAGGCCCCTCAGTTTTCCTGTGACCAAGTCCCAGGTGGTGCTTGGGTACGCAATTTTGCACACTATGACGTACAGAGCATTCTCTTCGACCTGTCGGAGGCTGCAACCAATCGGGACAGCATTGGACGCAAGAAGAACATCACGTCCGGTGCGTCAGCTGCCTCTCAACTCCGTCCACTTTCACAATCCACGCCTTCCTCAGTTTCTCAGGGTGGAGGGGGCGGCTCAGGAAACGGGACTGGCTCGGAAGATGTAGAGCAGTCCTTGCTGGACGAAGGAGATGGGAACGATAATGATCTCCTGCTCAGCTGTCCTCATTTTCGGAATGAGATGGGTGGCGAGGAGAGCGTGGGGCTCAGCCTGCCGCGGGCCGGCAGGCACAGGTGGAGGAGTTTTCAAAGTCCCAACAATGCTGTGTCCATGTTAGAGGAGCCCAGGGAGAGCCATGTCCAGGCACAGGGGAAAAGTAATTACTTCATAGAGCATGCAGACCTTGGGGCTCGATACTATCACAAGTACTTTTACATGAAAGGTGAGTGTGTGTGTGTGTGTGTGTGTGGCAAAGCATGTTTGCACTTTTTGAAGAAACATATTGCATACTCATTTTCACTGCTTAGTCTAATTTACTCTCAGAAAAATTTGCAAAAATCATGCTTTTATGGGTACAGCAGCTTGTCACTGGGCCGGTACCCTTTAAAGGAACATCTTTCCACTTTATTTACTCCTAAAAGGTTCATAGTAGTACCTTAAGGCAGGGTTTCCAAATCCCGTTCCTGGAGATCTACCTTTCTGCAAAGTTTAGCTCCAACCCTGATCAAACACACCCAAACCAGCTGATTAAGATCTTCAGAAGCATTTGATTATTAAAGACACACCTTAAGGGGTACTAAAACATAAATTATTACTACTCTAAAGTAGCACCTTAAAGGGTCCTTAAGGCAGTGGTTCTCAACTCTGGTTCTCGGGACCCACTGCTCCTCACATTTTGTATGTCTTTCTTGTCTGACACACTCATTTACACTTGGCATTAACATGCGACCTGTATCCGGATGTTGTCCACATACACATTGAAAAGACAAATGTAAACGTGCTTCTGATCGGAATGTTATTTAAATATTGCGCCGGAAAGAGAGATCCGATCGGTTATCCAGATAGAGAAGTCACTTGATGTTGCCAAGTGTAAACGCGCCGTGTCCTGATTGACTGATGATCCGATCTGCTTGATCGGATCATGCCACGGTGATCACATGTTAAAGTTCAGTTCATGGAGCTCTCTCCTAGCGAGCTGCTGATCTGAATCAAGTGTGTTAAATAAGGAAGATCCGTGAAAACAACTAAACAAGCAGTATTTATGCATGCCAGGCCAGTAGTTGGCGATGTCACTTTGTAAAGAGACACTATGCATCTGCGCACATACACATTCCTATAGACTGAACATGTAAAATGCATGCGCATGACGTCACCGTTTTCATAAATTCACGTTTTCATAGTTTACACAGAGATGATAACGGTATCATTTTCAAAAACGTGCACTTTGAAAGCCATTTTCAAAAGTTTGTGTTTTCAGGCCTCCAAAATGCAGTTGTCGTGTAAATGAATGGCCAAAACAAAAATTTTTTTTCTGTTTTTAGTTGAAAACGGTGTTGTGTGAAGGCTAAAGTATACTTCGGTTTTTACGCTTAAACGAGGGTCCGCATACAGTACGCGTGATGCAAATTTTGTCATCAGAATAGTATGCACGTATTGTATAAGCACCATCTGATTTTTGTAACCGTGCGTACTTTGTATGCGCAGGTCACACATGCGCATTAACTTGGTTTTGCACTACTCACTTGTTCCACAAGTTGGCAACATTAGCCCAGGCCATTGTTTCACAGTAGAAAATGAAACTAAAGAGATGAAACAACAACAAAATAGCAGAGACTGCAACAACAACACACGGCCACATTGACGAGCGCTCGTGTGAGGGGGTTATGAGAGAGAGAGCAGCAACTTTAGTTTAAAAGAGTACAAAGACATTTTTATCGGTCATAACTTCTGGAGAAAAATAGTGCAGACACAAAGATGAAGCTTTCTAGAGTGCATGTGTAGACCGCCTGCATTCGCGTACACCTTAAATGGACTATACTTTGAAAGGCTACGTGTACAACGGTGCTCGTACACGTAACAAAAAAAAGGAAGTATACTTTGGCCTTAAACAACCTCTCGGTTCAGTTCATGGAGCTCTTTTCTAACGAGCTGATGATCTGAATAGGTGCGTTAAATAAGGAAGACATATGAAATGTGCTGAGCAGTGGGTCACGAGGACTGAAGTTGAGAACCACTGCCTTATGGGCTACTACTATATAGAGTATTACAACTCCAAGGTACTTGTTTTTTGGGGTTTTTTTTACCTCTAAAAGGTTCATAGAAGTACCTTAAGGGGTATTACTATATACGGTATTACTACACTAAGGTAAGGGGTAAGGGAAACCCCTAAAAGGTTCATAAAAGTACCTTTAGGGGTGCTACTACATACTGTACACTACTCTATTACTACTCTGAGGTACTAATGTGCACCTTAAAGGTAAATAACTTATTTGCCCCTAAAAGGTTCATAGTAGTACCTTAAGGGTTACTTCTACATACTGTGTTACTGTACTAACATGAACCTTTTAATGGTAGATAAGGTACAAAGTTGTCCCTTTAAGCCCCTGTGATAAGATGTCATACTCCTAAATAGGCCTGGGCGATAAAACGGTATCGATATTTATCGACGGTACACCTTCTTCGATAACGGTAGACATTTTTTTTCGCACGATATAGGCACGTGCTATGAGTGACGCAGGCAGCACATGCAAACACGAACACATGCTGAAATGAGTGCTGTGCCTGCCTGTGATGAGGAGATTGTAAATAAAGAATGAATATTAGTCGGTCCCAGTACAACTACAGAATCATTTTCAGGACCACTGAAGTAAATATAAGACTCTCTTACACACAGAAGTCATCGGAGAAGATTTTGAAACATTTTCACCCATTAATTTAAAGGAACTATCTAATGTTTTTTAGCATTTTTTTTTTTTCCTTGAGGTCCACTTATAATGCTTTACATGTCTTCTATAAACAATGGTCAGAAATAAGACAATTTTCCACCCACTCCCTGCTTTTGATTTTGTTTGAAATGAATCAGAGATGATCACTAGAATGTTGTTACTCAAATGTCCCCTTTCATTTTATTATTTAAAAAAAATCTAAATTAGAACATTACATTATTAATCAATATTAATTTTATATTTTTTAAATTTCTGAATGCAACACTACATTACATTGGTATAGACAAAAAAAATGTTTGCATATGTGTTTTTGTTGAGTATCATAATTGATAAATCAGGCTTTTATGGTTCTTATATTATAAAAGAATATAAAGCTGAAAGAGGATTAAAAAATACCTCAATTTTATTCAGAGGCCCAAACTGAGAAAAAAACTAAATAAAATAAATAAATACCAAGTTCTGTCATGAAACTCTAGATGGCACAGGCTATGGGTCCTTAACGTAACTGATGATATTCTTAGCACTAAACGATTTGTCACAAGCTGATTGGTTCCCGTTGCATACGCAGCCAATGAGCTTGCTGCCTTACATTTAAATGGCTGATTAGCATTCGCTTGAGCATTGCAGCGCGCTTTCAGAGTTACTCTGAAACCCTCCACCTTCCCCAGCTCCACCTGTATAGGTCTGCTATGGGTTATTTTATATGCTATTTGTGCTGCAGCAGTATGTCTTAAATACTCACAGCACCATATCGACTTATGTATTGGCAGTAGCAAGTTCCTGTAATACAGCAATAACCAACAGCAGCAGCAGCGTAGCAGATCTATTCCACCAAGACCAAATACATTAACATTGTATATCCATTACCATGCTAAAATCTTCAGAGAGTTCTCATGATAGAAATTTGGTGCAGCTGCTTTATTTGGTCTAAAAGTAAGATTAAATTCTGACTTGTAAATCAATGCGATTCTGATAGCTTGTAAATCAATCTACATTACATTATCGACCTCAGGGGAAAAATAAATATATGATATGACCCCTTTAAGTCTACATTATGTCTTTTGCACTCATTAATTAATTGGTCCCTGCTGTTTTCCTGCAGCTGAAGACCCTGAGAGGTTCGATCCTGGAGGAGTCGGTTCCCTCCGCAGCACGCCACACCACGCCACGCGGCCTTTCGCCCAAGAGACTGCTGGAGTTTATTTTGCCCGATCTCAACCTACATTGCCTCAGACTAGCCTCCACGTCCCCTAAAGTCAGAGACACGCTCCTCAAACTGGACGAGCAGGGGGTAAGAGATGTTATGTTGAGCTGCTTTCTTTAGTTCTGCAGGACTGACAGCTTGTGTTTACAGGTTACTGATAGGCTGCTAGAAATATTGATGCAACTGACATCTTAAAAAATTATATTGTGAATATATATAGAGAGAGAGAGAGTTGGTGCAACTCCTATTTCAAACACAAAGTCACATGAACTGGCTTGACAAGTACTGTTCCTCAATGCATTTATCCTCTTCTCTGCCTTGCTTCCTATTTTAGTAGTCTAATGAACCTGGTTGACTCTATGAACTAGTTGACTCTATGACGAATTGCTTTTGCAAAGTGAATGATAAATGCATCTGATAAATGCACTGACAAATAGATAAATGTAAATGCATTTCCAATCAGACTGTAAAACTTAAATGTATATACCTTGTAGAAGCATATATATATATTTATATATGCTTTTGCAGTTATGCTGTTACTGCACCTACACTGTAAAAAATGACCGTGAATTTAACGGTAAAAGACTGTAAAAATGCTACAGTAAAAACCTGTTCACTTGTGCATACAATGTGAAACTGTTGCATGCACTACTGTTGTATGTATTGCTATAACTGTTGTATGTATAACTGTTGTATGTATTGCTAATGCTATAGCAAGACTGCTTTTGCAGTTATGCTGTTACTGCACCTACACTTGTGCATACAATGTGAAACTGGCTTAATGACAAAATGAGGAAGAATGATGTTGTGTGTGTAAAAATCAAGTTGGAGAAGTTACTGTAATTTCATCCTTGTTAATGTGTGTTTTATGTGTGTGTAAAGTTGAATTTCCAGCATAAGGTGGGCATTATGTACTGCAGAGCAGGACAGAGTACTGAAGAGGACATGTATAACAATGAGAGCGCCGGACCAGAGTTCGATGAGTTTCTGGACCTTCTTGGAGAGCGAGTACGACTCAAGGGCTGGGAGAAATACAGAGCTCAACTAGACACCAAAAGTGAGATCAAAACTCAACATGCAGTCAGTCTTCATACAATTGCACCATAGTACAATAGTATTAGTGTTATTGCATGTGTTGTGTGTAAGTAGAATGTAATTACAATATTGTTTATTTTTCTTTTTTATAATTGTTCCATGAAAAAATAAATGTAAATTCCCATTTTTTGCACATAAACTTGGTGTTTATATTTTGTTCACAGGAATAAGTGACATTTTACAATATATTTAAACAGAAAACTCTTATTTAAAATTCTAAAAATATTTCACAATATTCCTGTTTTTACTGCATTTTTGATTAAATAAATGCAGCCTTGGTGAGCATAAGAGACTTCCTTCAAAAAACATTTTAAAAATCTTTTGAACAGCAGTGTATATGCAGAAAATAGAAAGAAAACTGTACAGAGAGTGACAATAACAGATTTTGATTGGGTGTGTGATAGTAGTGTTTGTGTGTTTATTTGCAGCTGACTCCACTGGTACACACTCACTGTATACTCGCTATCAGGATTACGAGGTTATGTTCCATGTCTCCACCATGCTTCCATACACAGCCAACAATACACAACAGGTAATCTACACAACCCTAGAACGTCCCATTAAAACTGAGCACCAGTTACAGTATATCAATAGCACAATCATATGAATCAGCAGTAGGATATGCATTGGGATCTCATTTGCATGTGCAAATCTCCTGGTGTCTCCCCTTGTGCAAAAGAAATATACTTTAGCATACATTTAAAAACCGTACTTATTGCAGAAATAGTGTACTTTAAAAGAATATACTTAAGTGTGAACTGAATGTAGTGTTTTCAGACTCATAATTGCATGTTAATTAGAATTAAATGGAAATGTATTATAGTTTAATTGTATATTAAATGCAGTTAGCTGAACACTATAGGCTGCTTTTTTGACCAGCTTAAGTATCACTTAAGTACATATTTACATGTAATTTCATAACTATGTTGTATATGAAATATGGCTAAAGCACTGCTGAATGTACTGACAGGCATGTATGATAAATAAAATATACTTTAATGTCATTTTAATGAAACTTGTATGTTACGTATTTAAATATATTTGTAATTACACATTTGTGATGATGAAGCTGCAATTTAGTACATTTAAAAATATATTAACTTTAATTGTAATATGGAATAACACGGTACAGTTAAAAATATAATAGTACTTTGCATGTTCTTTAGTATGTTAGTCAACACGTCAAAATAAGTGTACTTCTTTAAAGCATCAAGATTGTTAAAACATAATGATTTAAAATTCACTTTAAAGAAAAACTTTTTAAAAAGTGCTTTAACAGTGTACTTAAGTATGTTAAGAAACAGTCTATTTTTAAGTCACTTAAGTGGCCTTTTATTTCATTAATAGTATATTCAAGTACAGTTTTTTTTTAAATATACTTTTTTAGATTTGAAAACACTACAAATGCACATTCAGTAGAATTATGCACACTTCTTTTTAACAAGGGTCCGATGGCTTCATTATACTGCACTTTCCATTTAAGTCACTGCATTTAGAATTTAAAAGTCTATGTTTTTTTCTCTATTTCTCTTTTAGTTACTGAGGAAGAGACACATAGGGAATGATATCATCACTATAGTCTTCCAGGAGCCAGGTGCTTTACCCTTCACCCCCAAAGCCATCCGTTCTCACTTTCAGCATGTGTTCATCATTGTCCAAGTACATGAGCCCTGCACCGAAAACACCCATTACAGGTAAGAAAGCAGACAAAATGTGCTGAAGGAAAAGAAAACGTTGCAAATAAAAATGTTAATAAAATGCTGTAAATAAAATTAAACGTGTCTTTATCTCCACCCTTCTCAGAGTTGCAGTAACTCGTTCCAAGGACATCCCTCTCTTTGGTCCTCTCTTCCCTAAAGGTGCACGCTTCCCACGTTCTCCTGCCTTCCGTGACTTTCTCCTCGCCAAAGCCATTAACGCAGAGAACGCGGCAGAGAAATCAGAGAAATTTCGCTCTATGGCCACACGTACGCGGCAGGAGTACCTAAAAGACCTGGCGGAAAACTACGTCACCACAACGCCCATTGATTCGTCCACCAAATTCCCCCTGCTGTCGCTTGGCGGGAAGCGCAAAGAGAAGCTGAAGGGAGCTAAAGGTGCGGAGCTTCACAGTGCAGGTGCTTTAGTGTGGGCCGTCACCGTCGTTCAGGGCGGCGAGAACAACGGTCTGGGCCTGTCCTGTCTGCTCGGCGTATCGGCGGAGTCGGTCGTGCTCATAGAGCGATTCACGCGAACCGTCATATTCAACTGCAGCTGCCGCGATGTGATCGGCTGGAAGGCTGTGACTGAGCCTGGAGCTCCGGGTGGCCCTTCGCTGGATATCTTCTACGAGAGAGGCGAGGCGGTGACTGTCACGACGTCGGAAAGCCAAGTTGAGGATATTAAAGAGGTTGTCCAAAGGCTGGAGGTGAGATTTAATGTATATGTGAAAATATTGGAGTACATTTTTAGAAGAAACTACTATTTCAGTCTTTCTACTTCAAATTTCATGTTTAATAGAACGTGTTACTTGCTGTTTATTTGTACTTAAAGGAATATTTCACCCAAAAATTAAAAATTGCTGTTAATTTACTCACCCTGCAGGCCATCCATTATTTTTTCTTCAGTAGAACAGTAAAGAAGATTTTTAGCTGAAACCGTGGTCCTTGGTGATTCATAAAATGCAAGTCAACGACTACCATCACTTGATAGTCCAAAAAAGCATATACAGGCAAGACAAAATTAATACCCATAGCTTCCGACGATATATCGAGGTCTTATGAAGCGAAACGATCAGTCTGTGCAAGAAACTGAACATTATTTACAACATTATTACCTGTAATCCAGAGCCTCAGGCAAACAGTTCAGAGTGATGTCCGATTCACAAACGAATCATTCTTTTGAACCGGTTCTTTTTAGTGAACAGTATAAACCATTTCACCAAATCGCACTGAACCGTCTGAATCAGTTTGCGGCTCGATCAGCACAGATCTACAAGTTACTCAGTCAAAACTCACTTTCGGATGCCTGACAGTCACTCCGACTCAAAATGAGCCATTACAGCGTCGCATCTGATCCTCTGATGAATTAAATTATTCCGCGCTCCAGTTCTCCAACAGTCACTGAACTGAGGAGGAAACAGTTCGACTCGGACCGAAGGCCGATGAGCCGCTAATATGCGCATGCGTTAACGTAAATAAAGGTGAGCTGATGAATATAAGTTTATATGATTTAGACACGTAAAACATCCATATTTTACATCAATATTGGGTGCTTTAATTGTATAATTGTGCATATGTTACATCATTGCATGTTTACATAAACGAATGAGTGATTTGATCGAACTATCCGAAAGAACCAGTTTGCGGAAAATAATCAGACTTCTCCGTTTGCCTGAGGCTCTGGATTACAGGTAATACTGTTGTAAATAATGTTAATTTTCTTGCACACACCGATCATTTCACTTCATAAGACCTCAATATAATGTCAGGCGTCATGGGAGTTAGTGAAATTGCATTTGCAAATTTGCGTCCTATCTCAAGTGTGGAAATATTGTCCATCCCTTTCCAGAATGGCAAAGCCTTTTCTACCACCCAGGTTTATCCTGCAGCAATAGCAACCTGATATGTACATGTTTATGAAAGTTGATGACTATTAAATTATTTTAAGCCAACGATTCTAGTATGAGATCTGTCCATGGTCCTGAAAGCACAGTCTCAGCCACTATTCGAGTATACAGTAAAATCAAATACATTAAAAAAAACAATCTGTTGTATCCCTAAAGCTATGGTTTTTGCACATTCTGGGAATGTTCCTTGCGCTGTCGCTCTGTTGTAGAGAAATGGGTGTTACATGAGTAACCTAAAGTTATTTTTTCAGGGCCTTTTTTACAACATAAAAGTGGTAAAAACAATTCAGATGCAGTTCATTTTTAGTGTATTTCCCCAGACACTTTTATTGATTTATACTGAAGTTATTTATTTATAATTAAAACATCTAATGCAAGCTTATCATATTTGCCTTGTTTGCAAAACATCTTCCCTTCACTTCTTTTGAATTTAACCCTATAAAGCCCACAGTATCATATTTGATACTCAAATTATTAAGGCCTCTAAATTATTAACATAATCAAAACTTGGCTGAACCTGTTGTACACAATCTACTACTTCTGTCATGTGACTGACTTTTTTAACAAGTAAAAGGCCTTTTAGTATAATTGTACAAATCTCGGGATTCTACTGTGAAATCTGATTTTTATAAAGTAAACAAAAAAATAACTTTGATATTGTTAGCAATGTTTCAATATAAACACTTACTGGACTGAAGCAGCTTAGGTTTACTTGATTATCCAGAAATCATTTTGTAGAAAAAAATCATATTAAAATGTGAGTATCAAATATGATCATCAGGCTTTTGAGGAACGTTTATTTGTTAATCTCTCAATCATCAATGTATTGCATTGCATTATATGTTTTGATCATCAAACTAAGCATTTAAATATAATCTTACTAAGATATTATTTGGAGATATGGAGTGACCACTGATATTTAGCCTATATCATTTTATGTAAGTATCTGCTGTACTGTTTGATTCACATTACAAGCTACCAAAATTTCATCAACTTTTGGCCATATAAAAATCAGCATCTGCAACAAATTTTTGCTCAGTTTGAGTCTTTGAATAGAACTGAGCTGTTTTTACCTCCATATTATCACCGTATAATACTATATGAGCCATAAAAGCCTGATGTATCAAACATGATACTTAACAATAGCATATTTTTCTAGTGTCTAATGGTTCAATAAACTGTTTAATAAAAAAAAATAAAAAAAATTCTGACTACTATTTCATGTGGCATGCTTTACAGGGTTACGACTTGGATCTCTTTGTGATATGCTGTAGGCTGTTTTAACATGATGCTCCTGTACTTCCCCGCAGCTGGTGACGCGAGGCTGTGAGGCGCGTGAGGTCATTCCCCTGCGGGACGGTGTCGGCCAGCCGGGCTTCCTGATGAGCGAGGAAGGCTTTGTAACGGAGCTCCAGCGGTTCGGATACGCGGAGAGCGGCGGCCTGCAGCTGGGGGCTCGTGTGGTTCGTCTCTGTGGGCAGGTCCTGGTGCACCTCAGCCTGGAAGAGCGGAGCCGACTCCTCCGCGCGGCTCAAAAGATCCACATCACAGTCATTCCTCCAGACGAGAACGGAAAACCACGCAGGTAATAGAGGTGACGGGTTATTTGTGTGTCAGAGGAAGTGGATAAAATGGGGGGATGACGTAAAGAATGCATACACTGCAGTGATTTTGAGAGAAAAGTGGGCTGACGAGTTAAAAATAGTAAGCAGGGAGTGGAGGATGGAGTATTGTTGATAATGTAATTAATGATGGTAAATGTAATGTGTATCCCGTTCAAAACCACCGCTAAAAAGTTTAAGGTTGATAAGGAATTTTTTTTTTTTTACGTTTTTGAAAGAAGTCTCTTTGCTGCCCAAAATGAAAGCAATGTTTTGGAAATTTCCCAGAATTAAAAAATGTAATTGCAACTTTTTACTTCACAATTCAGAATTGCAAGGTATAAACACAGAATTGCAAGATATAAACTCAGAATTCTGACTTTTTTCTCAGAGTTCTGAGTTTAAATCTTGCAATTCTGACTATTTTTCTTAGAATTCTCAGTTTACATCTCATAATTCTTTTTCTTTTCTCCGCCACAGAAAAAAAAATGGTAATGTGACTTTTTATCTCACAATTTTGCCTTTTTTTTCTTATGTCTCACAAATCTGTTTTCTTTTTTCTCAGAAATTTGAAATTATGAGATAAAAAGTTGCAATTACCTTTTTAATTTTTTTATCCCGTGGCGGAAACAAGATTCCATAAACCAAGGCTGAATTTTTTCGATCAAAAATACAGTGAAACAGTAATTCTTTGAAAAATTATTACGATTTAAAAGAACTGTGTTCTACGTGAATATATTTTAAAATGATATTTATTTCTGTGATCAAAGCTGAATTTTCAGCATCATTACTCCAGTCTTCAGTGTCCCATGATCCTTCAGAAATAATTCTAATATGCTGATTTGCTGCTCAGCTATGATCAATTATTATTTGTGCTCAATTATTAATATTTCTTATTATTGTCAATGTTGAAAACCGTGATACATGTTTAAGGATTCTTTGATGAATAGAAATTTCAAAAGAACAGCATCTATTTGAAATATAATCTTTTGTAACATTATAAATATATTTACTGTTACTTCTGAGCAGTTTAATTCCAAAAAGTTTTATTTATTCATTTATTTAAAGACCCTAAGCTTCTGAACGGTAGTGAAAATAATTAGGCTGACAAAATAAATTGTTGTGGACTGACAATTATTATAATGCCTCATCTATCTATATATATTTGTACCTATGCATTTGTATTGTATATTTTTTTATATATGCTCCCTAGGGAGGGAAACAGATGGATAGAGAGAGGGAGGGAGCAAATGAATGAAGGACAGACCTCATTCTATTGACATGAAAATGTTTTAGTCAGTGTTTCACCAGCTGGTCAAATGTCATTCAACTCTCATAATGCTTATTGATCCAAACCAACACACACACACACACACACACACACATACACACACACACTGACACACACACACACACACACACACACACAGACTCACACTGACACACACACACACACACACACACAC